AGTTGGTTTAGGGGAAAGCTAATTCTGAAAGGTTTATTTACTGAAGTAACGCTAACTGTAAGCCATCCCTGACTCACATCCATTTCAACTCAGCCAAACAAAATTCTGACCTTTGGGAATTCAAACACATTGAAAACTTGACCTCTCGCCTGCTTGGCTTTTTTGTTTGTGGGTTTGCTTTTATTTTAATAAAAAAGAGGAATTTTTTAGTATCTTCTTATCATCATGTGCCTTTTAAAGACATGTTATTTTTTATTTGCTTAAAAACTTTTGAAATACTTTTTATGCTAAAAAGGTTATTTTAACATGTTCACGAGAAATTCAGTATTCAAAAAATGTGTAGTTTAAAATAGAATATTCAAATATTATGGATCTTTGGAATCTCAGTTAATAAGGCTTTATTCCTCTTAGTTGCTGTTAGGATTAATCTCAAAACTGTAAAATGAGATAGGTTTTCCTAGTACAAGCCTTTGCGTTTGAATAACAATTTTTAAAATGAAAAATAACAAAGAAAACTTTTATCTCTTTGTCGATATTTCTTCCAATTTCATGCCCACTCATGAGATAACAATTACTTTACCCTAGAACAGATTGAAGATCGCATTGTTCTCTTAATGAATTTTGTGTACGAAAAGAAATTGACTGATTAATCACTGCACTGCAGATTTTATTTGGCAAACCCCACTTTGATATGAATATGCAGTTGTGCACTTTGTGCTGAGTGTGGCTGCTCTTATCACTGCTGGGACCATCTAGTATCTCAGAGCTGTCACAGCACAGAGGTTACTTGAGATAAATCACTTAACAGCAGCTGCAGGCCCTTCCAAAGTAACAGATTAGATACAGTACATGCAGGGTAATGCAGAGTGAAGCAGACTGACTGAATATTCTGGAATCTAAATCAGTAGCATCCTCCTCCTCAGTTAAGGCTCAGACCTGGCAAAGTGTCACAGAAACTGGTGAAGATCATTCTTCATAAGGTCAATGTAGTCTGGAATAAGAATATATTGAGCCAGCATAGCAAATACATTGGCATTGTGGGCATTTTTTGCTGCTGTTTTCCTTTTCTGACAGGTCAATTTTTTATCCTGCTTTCACTATTACACCAATACAGCTGAGGATCCTTTCCTGTGTATAGCATTACTCTCTAACAGTAACTGCCACAGGAAAAACCAAAACTGAATTGTGAATAAGCCTTTGATAGCTCAAATCCAGAATACAGTTAATTTGATGCAGTTCATAATGATTTCATTGCTGGTTTGAGATGAAGGAAAGAAAATATATTCAAATGAGATTTACAAACATTAAAGCCAAGTTTCCGCTGATGATTTAACAAGGAAGAGTAGATCATAATACATATGGTTTTGTTTAGAAACAGATATTACTGCCTAAGAACAGGGCACCTACATCACTCCCTTCTTGTCAACAAAATCAAGAGAATTTGTCGATACACCTACCTTGTGTTCTGATAAAGATGCAACACATAACTTCTCAGTTACTGCTAAGCATGATTATAAAGGGATGGGAAATCTTATTATCTGGCTTTTCAGTGACGTGTACAGGACTGCTATTCACTTTCCTCAATCAGTAATATCAAATTTGCTTAACATCACCTAGCTCCTCAAAAATTTTAAACCTCTGATTTTTTTTAAAACCAAATCACCTTATCCACTGTACATGTACTCAATGACCATGTACAAAAATACGTCTTCTAAAACTAACCTTCTAGAACAAAAATGGCCATCAGATTAGGAATAATTGTGGCAAGAAGTACAGTTAATAGAGAATTTTCCCTCTAAAAATGAAGAGCTTGCAAAAGAATGTGGAAAATAAGCTACCTTTACACTACAGCAGAAGACAATGGAACTTAAGGAAAAAACATGGTGTAAGACCACAGAGTCCAAGCTACAAGCTCATTGAAGGAGTTTTACTTTAAAAATATACTAGGTTCCAAAAATTTGCCCACTGAATTTATTGGAACAGCACTCAGTTTTTTTAAAACCTTAAGAGATAGTGCAAAGGAGAAACACTTCACACATTTTCTCAGGAGTTACCTTTACTGGTAAACTTTAGAAAATAAGAGAACTTGGCAAAAGTTTAAAGGGCAACATACAACGAAAATAGAGCATTCCACAAAGCATTGACTTAGCACATGTCAACCCATACAACTTAGTAAAAGCCAACCCACCCAGTCCTAGACTACCCAAAATATCAAAAAGGGAAATTAGGAGAGGAAGAAGAAAAGGAAGATTAAAAGAGAGAATTACGGCTACTAGCCCTAGATCCAGTGTATATCCAGCTACCAGGAGTCCATGAAGGTGATAGGAAACAAACATGAAAAGCACATTTTGCTGCTTTTATTGCTTTGGTGCCCTGTGGCCACACCCTTACCCCTATGTCAGACATCCAGAGCCTCAGCCAATTCGGGGCTGGGTCAGGGGCTCTGGGACGTGGTGTTGACACCGCTACCAGTGTCCAGTGACTAGCAGTTGCTCCAGTGCTGCCCAAGGAGGCTCTGGGGGACTGGGGTGTGGGATAGGGAATCACTTGAACTTTGTGAAATATGACCTTTCACTTCCTCTGTCACATACATACTTGAGTTGGTGCAAGTCAATAATTAATATAATAAGCCAGTGTCTTACATGTGGTGACTTTTGTAGGGCATAACCTAAAACTGAAGTACAAAACCAAGAAGAGACATTTAGCACAATATAAGCGGTAGGCATAATGATGTTTCTTGTATGCTATAAGACTATAAAAAAAGCTCCTGTGCTCTGGAAACATGTTCCCTTTAGAATGTGAAGATGCTTGTCTTAAGGCTTGTGTACTGGTTTTGTCTGGGAAGAGTTAATTTTCTTCATAGTAGGTAGTCCAGAGCTATGTTTTGGATTTGTACTGTAAGGACTGTTGGTAACAGAGGAATGTTTACATGCAAGATAAGGAGGTGATCTGAGACAGCTAACATGGCTTCCCTAAGGGCAAATCGTGCCTGACCAATTTAGAGGACTTCCGTAACGGAGTGACTGGAATGGTTGACCCACCAAGTGAAGACCCACCTAGGTTTCCTTAAGGCCTTCAATTTTCTATTAAACGACATGTCCTAATTAGAGGAACATGCATTTTAAGAGTGGACTATTCAGTGGATAAGGAATTGCATCCAAAGGAACCTGCTACAATAAAGAACCTGGCAAAAATACATATTTTTGGTAAGAAGAATGACTGGGTTATCACAGTATTCAAAAGAGTATTTTTTTTAAAAAGTCAACTCAAGTGGACATACTGCACAATTCCAAAGGGAATTTGTGAAACTTTAGCTACTTTTTAAAATTTACTACTAAAAGTTAATGTTTTTCTGTCTTAATTAGGAAACTGAGACCAAAAAAATGTTAAGCTGGCATTGTCTAAATGTCTGTTTTTCTCACACACAGTAAGAAAAAATTTGTTTTATGCAAATTCTGTTTGCCTGAAATACCTATGCCACTTGCTGTAACAGAAAACTATGTCTTTGATATGTCTGCTTGATCTGTTGGAGAGTCTTAGAAAACGGACCTTAATAGAGCATACTGCAAACCTTTTGTGCTAAAGGACCTTGTGCTAGACAAATATGTGCCTTGGCAGTGTCAGTCCATAGACTAAAGGCAGGAACAATATCAAAATTTCACATATTCATAGGATGCAAAAGCCTATAAGGAGTAGCATGATGGGCTCTAAAGACAACAGTGATTGAATACTTAGATATATTTCATACTGTAGATGGTAGATGGGTGGGTAGGGGTTGTGGGTGTGAACTTGGACACTGACACTCTTACATGTGTTTCTGTGGGTGGGAGGGAGAAATCAGTCTACCTCAGTCCAGAAAATAATGCAATCATTCCCATGTAGTAATTTATAGTTATCTTTTTTTGTTTCCTGTGCAGCAGAGAAGTGTACCCTTTTCTGTTATTTTCTGTGAGTAGATGGCTTTTCCCTATTTCCCTTTTCCTTTTTTTCTCTTCCTCCCAAAAGATAAATGCTCTCTCATTTTCACATGCACTTCTGCTCCCAGCTCTCATTACAGTCCTGGCTGAGCCTTACATCTGGCAAGCTTAACATGTCACTATCTGTCCTCAGAACCAAAGTGCACTGGAATACTCAATAAACCAAGAGAGTTATCTGACCCATATTACCCAACAGACCATGTGCATGTCATTTCTGTAAAGCACCTTGCATGCTTCTGCCAGCCAAGAGCCTTCACATATTCCATCCATTTTGAAATAAGCATCCCCTGTGTAGCAGCATGTGCACCTTTATGCATATTTTACCATCTACTCTTGTTTTAACTGAACCTAGACAATGTTCTTCTGACACTTGCAGACTTTAAAATATCTTTGACTGTCAAGAGTCTCAGGGCTTTCAGATGCATAGTCATTGTGATGCTCTAAAACACACACAAAAGACAATTGCATGTGTGCAGTAAGTGGATTATAAATTTTGGAGATTTTTCTCCAAGCACTTCAGCACTATCACAATTACAGACTGTTGTTTATTCTACTAGCAACAGCTCTCCCTGAAGCACTGTAAGTAGGTTTTATAAAATTTAAACTGATTTCAGATAAGTTTAAAGTGACCTGCTGCCGCAGAACAGTGGCTCTTGCATGAAGTGGGAAGCCACAAGGAACCATCTTTTTTGACTAAACAACATGGGTTACTAAAACCAGGCAAGCCATAGAAAAAGGATACTATAAACAGTGCATTTCCATTCTGTTCACCTTTGTTAATATGATTTCTCTTCCTGTCCTTTAAAACAAAACAAAATAGAAAGTTAATGTTGAAAGTTTTTAATTTTTACACATCTTCCTCTGCCCAAAGACCATGTTGCTTTTGGACGCCGTGCCTTCTAAAACCATGTCAGACTTCAGTTCAATCTGCACTGTTCTTGAAATTGTGGGACACAAACTGAGAGTCCTCTAGCTTCTCATGCTTGGCATTAACACAGTGGTTAGAGAGGCGCAGGGGATTTGGGCAGTGTCACTCCAGTTCTTTTGACAGAAGTGCTGAAAAAAGGCATTTAAAAAAATTTTTTTTTCAAATTATATTTTTGAAAAATATGCTCTCACTCTGAGGTGTGATAGGGGAGTAATTAAAATGTATTAGGAGTTACAGTAGTTAAGCAAATATTCTGTGACTTCTTTCAAAATATTAAAGCAAGGAAGAAAGAAGCTTGAAACACATATTCTTACTTCTTACCTTTTTTTTTTTTTTAGCTTTTTCTCATAAATCACTGCAGGAAACAAAATTTCAGCAGGTTTGCTACAAATGTTTCTTAGGTAAATTACTGTTTCAGGTAGCTTAAATCACAAACCACGTAAAAATAAACCATCAAGAGATATAACTAGCACAGAAATTTGTAATTACTAATTCTGTAGCAGAGGCTTGAAAGTATATTTTCTCTGCCATTTTGCCTAGCCTGCCCTTGAAAACTCATTTGAATCTCAGACAAGGAAAAAAAAAATACTAAAGAAAACAACAGGCTCTCCTAATTTCCTTTATTTTACTATTTATTTTTCAATTTTAACTTTCAGTTTTAGGAGTGTCTTATGTGTTTAGAAAATATTTAGCATTATTAGTTAGATAACTATACTACATGTCATAGTGATTAAATCATTAATACTGAACAGACAATATTAATTAGCACAATTATGTGTGCCAGTTAATTTTTGAGTTATAATTGTTACTCATTGTATTTTCTATCCAAGATGCAAAGATTACAATCAGAGAGACAGAAAATAGGTGTCATTGGACATAGTATCCTCCTCTGCCTTGTCAAGTTCAGAAAAAATTGATAAAGTACATATTCCTATTGGAAGTTGGGATGTAGCTTTCATCTATTCACCTGTGCAAGGACGCCCATCTCTTCTGCTTTTTTTCCTGATCTTTTGCTAGTCAAAATTTAATGCAACACCCATATGACACAATACTTTTTATTTGTCCTTCCCCATACATAGCAAAAGAACAATCTACAGCCTTTTCAATAACATCTTTTCTAATATACTGAAGAAATTATAAGTTCGTATTGTCATACACACTACTAATTTGATTTGTACTTATAAAATCTAATTATAATAGCAGAAAACCCTTCAGTGCTTTAAAGGGCTATTTGTGTAATAACACCAACAATCCCACCACATTAAAGTCCATAGCAAATCTTTCTTCTCTCCTCATCCTATTTCCCACCCCAGATACATAATTTCAGGTAGTTCTGTTACAAGTTTGGACTTCTGATTTGTGCACTGGCCATTCAGATAACCAAATACCTCCATTGAACCTGCCTTTATTGAGAAGTTTTCAGTAGACAGAATATTAGAATACAGTAAACTTCCTTGTAGTCTTCGAAGAAATGCTAGAATTGTTCTATCAGTGTTTCTGGATGGGCATCATGAAAATCTTAAAACAGAATTGGATACCTATAGCTTTGCATATACCTAGTTCTCCCATAAACATTTCTCAGACATCCTGCTCTGCTGAGGGCTCTCTGTTTTGACTTTAACCTGATGAGTTAAAGTGAGGTTAGTACAGAACAGAATAGAATAGAATAGAATAGAACAGAATAGAATAGAATAGAATAGAATAGTACCAGAGCTATGATGATCATCTACTCTAACTGCCTGATCACTTTAATGTTGATGGAGAGGCTCAGGAACACATGCAAATGATCAATGTGATCAGGCAAAATATCCAATTTATTATTCAAATAAGTTAACTTTTATACAGTTTAGTTTGTTTTGGGCACATGCTTACAACAAGGTGATTGCATAGCTCAGTCTGTGCATGCGTCTCATGTCTCCAGTTCATTGGACCTGATGTTCTGTCCACGCGGCCTGAAATCATACTTGGCATGTAGAGGCCTTCATAATTAGGAGCTTTCCGAAATCTGCATGTGTACCTTTATCTCTAGTTTCTCAAGGTTTTCTTACTATAAACTTACTATGTTCTCAAACCTTATAACTAGACACACAGCTAACAAGTATAAACATTGCATATTTTCACACAGTCTATAAGTATAAACATTACAGCTTGCAACCTCTAAAGTCATGTCAAGCAAGGCCTACAGAAAGCAGGAAAAATTGTTCAGAGAAATCTCTTTGCTCCAGCCACACTTTAAGACTGATCAAAGTTAAAACATGTTATCAAGGGCATTGTCCAAATACCTATTGAACTCTGACAGGCCTGGGCCATTGACCACCACTCTAGGAAACCTCTTGATGACTCTCTTGGTAAATAAATGATTCCTTCCATGTGTACTGTCACTGGATACCAGGCTGAAGACATCAGTAATTCTCTGTTTTTCCTTCTTAGGAAGCTCAAGAGAGCAATAAGGTTACCCCTCAGGTTCCTTTTCTCCAAAACAGACAAGCTCAAGTGAATAGACTTTGTCACTCCTCATAGGACATGTCTTCCAGCACTTTCATCAGCTTCGTTGCCCTCCTCCAGGTACATTAAAAGACCTTAACATCCTTCTTAAGTTGTGGGGCCCAGAACCACACACAGCACTCAAAGTGAGGCCGTGTCAACACTGAATACCATTAATTCTTTTGATCGGCTGGTGATACCATATTGCAGGTACCCTAGGATGCGGTTTGCCCACATGGCTGCCTGGGCACACCACTCACTCGTGTTGAGCCTAATGCTAACCAGCATCCTAGATCTGTTTCTGCAGGGTTGCACTCCTCTCCCATTTTATATTTGTATTCAGTGTTACTATGTCCCAAGTACAGAATCTGACATTTATTCTTACTAAATTTCATGCCATCGATGATTAGCCAATGCTATGATCTACCCAGATCCCTCTGCAAGGATTCCTGTCCCTTAAGCACCTCCCAGGTAAATACCATCAATAAACTTGCTAATGCATTTAGGTCCTGCATTTAGATAATTGACAAAAATATGGAACAGAACTGCTCCTGGAGCTGAGACTTGAGAAACACCACTGCTGGCTGGGTACTGGCCAGATGTACCCAGTTCGTCACAGATGGACAACTCATTCAGAAGATTACTGTGACAGACATTATCACAAGGCTTACTGCAATCCAGAAAAACTACATGCACTGTCTTCCCCCCATCCACTAGCAGGTGGCCTTATTATAAGAGGATATCAAGTTAGTCAGACAGGATTTTCGCTTTGAGAGCCCATGTTGACTGTTCCTGATGTTTGTCTTGTCCTTCAAATGCCTTTCAGTAGAACTCAGTATGTCCTTTGAGAGATATACAGTTGAGGTAGATAGGGTGAGCTCCTCAGAAATTACTATTCTAGTCTCTTTGTCTACACCTTTTGGTCTACAAATAGTCAGACACAACCTGACGTTAGAAAATGTTAGAGTAAATTGCAAATTTTTCATAGCAGCCAGGTCTCTTGGAGAAACAAAATCTAAGCAACAGATGTTTAGATAATTTATATCACTAGATTTGGGAGCAGGCTCTGGGCCTGAAGCTTTAACAATTACTATGTTGAACTGTATCTTTAATTATTCTTTGTTGCTGTTTCCTAAAGGCCCTCAATAAATTTTCTGTAGGAATAGATTTTGAAGCACTATTTATAATAATTTGTTGAGTTTTTAACAAATTGAAATATTTTTGCTTAAAATTTAGTTAGCTACCAAATGTATTTGAGGCACTGCAATTTTCAAATGTTCACAGCCAGCATACCACAGCTCTTATTAGTCAATAAAATGATTAATTTATATTATTACTATTGTCTATTCAAACCATAATGTTGTGCATGATGCTTAATTCCGAGGATGTCAACGGGTTAAAATTCTAAAGAAATGCTTTCTTTTCTCAAGGCATCAAATAAACATAAATACCGGTTGTCCATCATGATATTCCAATAGGACTCTTTATAAATTTTTAACATCTTTAGAGAGGAATGAAGCTGGAAGAGATATTAACCTGAGCCGACAATTTGAAGTCACCTTAGTAACTATATAATAATGAATAATAATAAATATTAGTTACAAATATAAACAAGTTGTTAGTTTTATGATTAGGAAATGTTTGTAAGTGCCTTAAAAAGTAAGACTTTTGAGAGGTTAGAAATCTATTGCAGAGATTATAGTCTTCTCTTATAAGAAACATTTGCTTACTTAGGTACTCTCTATATCTGACTTTCATAAGTCCTTGAGTTAGGTGGTAGAGAGTATGCCTTCTGAAAGTGAGTCAGATACTTTGATTTATGAAAATGTTGTAGAAATAAAAAAAAAAGAAGAATAAAAATGGGACATTTGGAGGAATGATACACAGCAGTGTAAATGTAGGGGGACAAGCCAAATGTCTTGAAATATACATCATGCTCTGAGATAAACAGTCTTCCTGTTTTTTCTTAGAGATGAAAAAATACAGTGCAGCATCAGCTGATCCATATGCTTAGCATACCAGCAGCATTGCTAATGTAACTCAGGTTGAGTGAGACTGACTCCACAGAGGTAACATTTTTCTGTCTCTTGGATTTGAAGTAGCATCCTGTGGACGTTCATACTACGTTGGGCTTTACTGTGGAACAACAACAAAAAAAACCAAAACACAAAAAAATCAAAATTGCTATGTAGAAAAAAAGTAGACTTTTGTAAGTAGAGATTCAAGCCGAACAAGTATAAAGTCTGTGTGATACCTCAGTGGTGAGTAAGCCTTGCTTCAGCTGTAAGCCTTGGAGTGAATTTCAACCTCAGCAAACAAATGAAGAATGGGCAATGTCCTATAATTGGTTTTGTGTTTTAAAGATCAAAATGGTAAGACACAGTTCAAGAGTGAAGTACACAAAATGTTGCTATCCAGAATAAAATTTTAGAAAAATGAATATTCACCAAGGGGGCCAGGAAGAAAGTGGATCAATAAAGGCACAGAAATTACACCCTGTGTTGCTCTATCTCTGTGTGAGGCATTAGATTATTATATGAATTATTGGCTTGGATCAACTCAAGTGTGTGTGTGTGGTGTGGGAAGGAAGAGGTCAAATTTCACAAAGGTGAGGTAATGTCTTGTCCCACACTGCAGCTCCTTG